GCTGAGGGTTCCAAGTGTTGTTCCCCACTGGATGCATCCTGGGCCTGCCTCAGTGCTCCTGCTCTTGCATGCTGACCTGGCTGTAGGGTGTTTTTGTAGGGTGTTTTCTGCCTTAACAGGGTGTCTGACAGTCTGTGTACCTCACCCTTGGCCACCCTCCTCATCCAATAAAGGTTTGAGTTTTAGTGTGGGTCTTTACAAGGTGCATGTATTCCACTTCAGTATATCTGTATTGAAATTTCATACTTAATTCTACTGGCACTCGATGGCAGATTCTTTTTAATGAAAGAGAAAAGTCATAATTTTCCCAGTTTTGAAAGTCTGCTTAAGGCTATTGTGTTTGGAGTCATTTTTGTAGTGTTATCATCTTTACTAATGARTACACCTTAGCATGTTTGTCCTGAATTAAACAGCAATGTCAAGAATCCAGTGCATGTTCCCCTCTCCTTTTCCAATATGCTTTAGATTTAATTAATTCAGCAGTAGCTTTCATTTGGAAAAGGAGGAAATATGTTCCAAGAGGWCTCCAGTAATTCCATAAACTTCAAGACTGATTCAGCTTTTACCGAAACTGATTCAGATAACAACTAGTTTCTTTGTTTTAAAAGTCAGTTCCAAAAATAAAGAAATTCTTCAAATACTTTGCTTTGTGAGGTTGCTACACTGGTAGCCACAGGTGTGGCATATGCCTTCCAATCCAGCAAGTGCTGAGGCTTTGAATCAAAACAGATAAGGAAAAATAAATTGTGAAAGAGGTAAACTACAGGTTGTGTTCAGGTTATTTTGCTTGTAACAAAAAGTGTTATTTTTACCCGTGAGGTACTATAAGAACTTTTGGGGCAATGGTTTCCCTATTGTTCATCTATCTGTTTTCATACATATGAGAAAGATCCTTCTGCGGGGTTTGAAATATGAATTCTCACATTTTGTGTTTAATGTTTTCAAAGAAAAGATCAGAGGAATTTTTCTGTTTAGAGAGGATACTGAATAMAAAGCATGAAAGCAGAATTCCCCAAATAATCATTTCTGTGTGACTTTTCTTGTAAAGTTACTTGTGGTGAATTGAAGTAAGGAGAAAGTGATGCTCTATATTTTAAAAATAAACCCTGGGCTCAGCCRGGGAGCTGGGGGATCCAACAGGCTGGGGCTGGGGGCTACAGAAGCACTGTACTGTCCCATGAACTTGGAAGAAAGAGGCTTTATTGAGAGCTGTATTGGTATTTTAATGTGACTTGAGTATGGCTTGGAAGCTTTAACCTACTGCCTGCTTTTTATTATTCCTGAGTGTAAGCTCAGGCAGGGCACAAAGCTGCACTGGGGATGAGCTGTGTCTGTTCTGCAGAAGAATCAGCCCAGAGAGGAATAAAGGTGGTGTCAGAATAAAGGTGGTGTCAGTGCTCTCTCTCAGAGCCACCTGTGCCTGCAGCAAATGCAGGTTCCTCGGCAGCAGAGCAGGAGCAGGGTCCAGATTAAGGAGAGTCTTTGGTCAGAGGACCAGGAGGATCACCAGGGTCTGAGCCAGCCCTGGGATATTTTTTTAGAAGGCTCCCATTGCAGATGTGGTTAAGCCACCCCTTAAGGCCAGAATTGCTGGGTGAACAACACACTGTGGCTGCAGCCTTCAAATCTTGACAAGGAATACACAGTGATTTGTTTGTGTGATAGGMAAGCTCCTATCACAGGTTCTCTTCGTGTTCTGCTCCAGCAAAGAAAAGAGGACAATGCCTATGGAAACAACCAGAGTTTTACATTCTGCTTTATGAGCTGCCCCTATCACAGAGCTTTTAGGTTATCYGTGCTAGTGAAGAATAATCCATCTCCACATTTGTTTTTAAATGAACATCATGTGGTATATTGCACTACTCATTAAGCAGTGATGCTTATGAAAACTGAGTCTCAATGCTTTTAATCTTGGAAAAAGAGGAAATCTTTCTGTCAGTTGCTTTCTCTTTCTCAATGTTTTCAATGTATTTTGCTTTTGCAGTAATGTTGGGAATGTAGATGTTCTCAGATAAGCTTTCAAGTTTTGTGTCTTGAAATGAAAAATCATGAAAACACATTCTAGTTTTACAGGTAGGAGTATAATTTAAAAGAGTCTTAATTTTAGACTAATTAATTTTTTTCTAAGCTTTGAACAGGCTGAGGAGTTTGCAGGAAGAAATACCTAGGAAACTGATGGAACAGTTGATAGTGAAATTTAAAGCCAGCTCATAGAAAATAATTAAAGCCTGTGTGTTTCCTGCTAAGAGAGGAGAGTGAGGGATGTGTGAAAAGTCATTCACTGCATGTGTAGGTGCMCTGCATTGTCACACAGGATGCCTCCCTCAGCATTGTGCAAATATTAATCCCAAGGGATAGGTAAACACTTTTCTAATCTACATTGGCATTCAGGACCCTCCAATTCCACTCTGCTGTTTTGTCTGTGGCAGAGGTCACACACATCTGTCCCTTAGGGCTCCTCATTTATCACAGTGGGTTCTCTCCTTTTGACCCAAGATCAGCTGTGCAGGATCACAGCTCAGTTCTGTGCTTCATGAGGTGGGAGCTCACCAGGGCTGCTGTGATGAATTAGAAAACTTGCCTTTCAGGAAATGGGGGAGAAAGAGGGATAAAAGGGCTTGATTCACTTGGTACAAATGAAGAGCAATGGTGATTCTTTGGACTGCAGGGAAGTAGGAATTGTAGGTGAAACTRAGAATGAAGAGCTTCTGAGGGCTGCTACAAACTGTAGAACTGAGAGTGTGGCTGAAGGTGCAAGGACAGAAGAGGTGGAGTGTCCTGGAAGGGACCAGAAGGGCTCACCAAGGGTGATTCTTAGAGCAYAAGTTAGGAGAGGCCCATCAGAGCACAACAGTATGACTATTGAGGAATATTTATGCTTCAGAAGTGGAGAGTCAGGTAATGCATTGGAGAAGCACTGTACGTCCCATGAGCTTGGAAGAAAGAGGCTTTATTGAGAGCTATATTGGTATTTTAATGTGAGTTGAGTATGGCTTGGAAGCTTGAACCTACTGCCTGCTTTTTATTATTCCCARTTTTTAAGCTGGAATTAAACTTTTTGAGGCCTGGTATGTGATTGATTAACAGGGTTAGTGATTATCAGTTGAGTGATTTCAGCTGGCAGTAAAAAAGATGTCAGGGGTATATACTGCCATGAATGATCTGGGCAAGTATTTTCTGCTCTTCTAGCATCTGAACATCCATGGACATAAACTGGGTTGTAAAGCCAGAA